AACCCGGTGCCTGCCCCCTGCAGAAAGAGCCAGGGCGAGGGGGGGGGGACGGGACCCACAGCAGGGATGCTAAGGGGGGGTGCCCCGCTGCTCCCACCTCTCCCCCAGGATGGAGCCCCCCCTTCTCGGGTTTTGGGGGGGGGATGCTGTACCTGAGAAGCCAGGACGTGCTGCTGGAGGTGGAAAGGCAAAGCAGCCGCCGATGCTCCCGAGAGTCCCTGGGCCGCCGCCGTGGCCATCACCGTGTTGTCCAACCCCGACACACCGGCGGATGCCCCGGAGACGGTGGCGAGCAACGGCCCCATCCCCGCCGCCATACCGGAGAAAGCCCCCCCCATGGCGAACTGCCCGGGGTGCAGCAAGAGGGGGTGCCCGTTCCCCAAGGGGTTGAAGAACTGTTGGCCGGCCAGGGTTGGGGGGAAGCCGAGGTTCTGCAAGTGGCCCTGGCTCAGGTGGGCCGCGCTGTCGGTCTGCACCGTGAGGGGGGCGAAGGGTTCTTTACCCAAAAGCCGGTTTTCATCTACTTTGGGGCCGTCCCTGAGGGGGCTTTTCAGTTCTTCGCCGCTCAAACTGCCCCCCCGGGTGCTGGAGGAGATGGTGGCCGGGCTGTGCCGGGAGTCCGGAGGGGCTTTCTCCGTCCTCTCTCGGCTCCGACTCCCCGTCGAGTCACCGGGGAAGAAGTGGCTTTTGATGGGGCTGCCCCCTTTCTCCCGGGGGTCTTCTCCCGCCCCCCCGACGGAACTGGCCGGCGCTGGGGTGGTGGTGGGGGCGGTGGTCGTGCTGATTTTCCCCGACTCGCTGCCTTCTAGCAAAGGGTCGTCTTTGCTGTCTGCGTCGCTGTCTCCCTCGCTGGGACAGAGATCTGCAAGATAAAGGGGAACCCCGGGGGGCTGGGATCCGGCACCCCACGGCCCTAAAACCCCCCCACCCCGTCGGGCAGAGAGGCTTTCGGGCCGGCCAGAGATCTAAATGTAAATACTTCCCTTTTTTTTATTATTATTATATAAATAAATACACACACACACGGCTCCCACCGCCCGCCCCATCCAAGCCAGGCTGCGAAAGAGAGCGACACACACACACACACACACCCGACCCTCCAAACCCGGTGGCTCCGCTCTGCCGGGGCTGTCTGGGGTGGCGGGAGCCCCCGGAGACCCCCCCATCCTCCCCATCGCAGC